CCTTCGGGGGCTGCCCAGGGCGGGGGGGCCGGTTGAGCGGCACAACAGGTCACTTTTAAGCCTTTTATCCTCTTTTTCTAACCTCAGGGATTTCTTCAGCAAAGGGGGGTCTGCCCCGTGCGCCCTGTGCCCCCCGCCTGTGACAGGAGCGGCTGGGGAGATGTCTGCCCAGCCCCGGAGCGGGAGCCAGGGGCCAAAGAAATGACCACTGGCACGTGCATCTCTAAAATACCTCTCTCCTTCCTCAGAACATTTTTTTTCCAGTCAAATGTCCTCTTTTATTTTGTTTTCCTGTGCTGTGCATCATTCTCTGCTCATAATACAGGGTATATTCCCTCCTCTGGATGCTCGATACGGAAGAAATAAAACTTAGTTAAAATAGGAATCCAGGGCCCCCGTCCCGCTGCAGCTGTGCTTAGCTTCAAGCAGGCAAGAACACTTCTATAAGCCTTATGCTCATGGGCAGACTGGATTCAGATTTTAAGGTTGGGCCCCGTGTTACGGTTCATGTCTCGGTCGTGATTACTGCTGAAATCAACAGGACGAGGGCCCGGCCTTCATTACCGAATGTTTGCAAAGCACTGCAAAGTTCGAGACTGCCATCATAACACTAAGTAGTACCAGTCGGATTTTGTAGGGGCTGCTTATGTTTCCAATGCCACCGCCAGTTCTTTTCACCCTTAGGGTGCAGATAAAACAAACAGAGCTGAAATAAATGGAAGTGCTGCGCAGGCCAATAGTCACTCCACAGAGAGTAAATTGCAGCACAGGGCTAGGGTTTTTGTTTTCTCAACTTCTAAAGTAAATAACAACCTCTTTCATAAAGGTATTAATTAAATTCAGTAAGCACAATCCACACAGTCAGACCCTGTAGTCAGGGGTGCTTTCTTTTAATATGTAAAATGGAAATGAATACGACAAGGACCGGCAGATGTGTCAGTGGCCAAGTGAAGCGAGGCTTTGCCCTCCACTCAGTGACACTTTTCTGTCTATCATGGAATGGATTCTGAAAATTGCATCCGATCAATTAAATGTTCTCAGACAACACGCGAGGTATTGATAAGTGAAACCCTATTACTTAGCATGAAGAATGAGAAAATGAAAAGGCTGCGGTTCTACTTCTCTTGAGCTTAGTAATGCTGTTGTAGCTAAGCACAGAGATAAAGCAAACCTGGAAGCAATATAGTCTGAAGCAATGTAGTTCATTCTACATAAACAGTGAAATATATACTGCTGTACTTCAAAGAATCAGCAATGGACTGAGCACACTTAGTAAGGCAAATACGAACAAGATAGGAATAGTTCTTTATGTAAAAAAGCACTGAATCAAAGAATAGCAGCCAGAGGCAGAAAGGACAGGACTATCTCAGCCAGACTGGCAACTTAAACTGTTTATGGATCTATAATATTAATTATGTTAGACATAAAATCCCTTTCTTTGCACTACAATAGATTGGTCAAGAAGGTACTGTGTTATTATAAAGGTATACTTGTAGGCTGAAGGATCATTCCCACATGGCATTATTCTTTTTTCCTCTCACTGCAAAGTTCAGACTCTGGGTGCACATTGCAGATGTCTGCATCTTATTTTATATGTTATCCCTTGGAAATGGATGATTCTTTTCCATTTCTTCCCCTCTGATTTATTATTTATTCTTCCCCTAAGATTTATTATTTTTAAACATATATTTTCAGCCGTTAATATCGCATTTATTTTAACTGCCTCCAAGATCCCTGTCATTGAGGTGCCCAAGTGCAAGGATTTCTGATTTTACACCCTACCTGGAACAGTAAAAGGGCTTGACAGTTTTTTACTATTTTTAAACAGTAACGACAAAGCAGTGGCCTGAAAACAAACCCATAAATGCATAAGGAAACATTTGGAACTTGCCCCTAAAGAACAAAGAGTACAGCATAGCTTTGGCTTAGAAACTCAAAGGAGGGCATTCACATTTTTTGCTCCAGGAATCTGCTTTTCCTTGCATAAATGAGGAGCCAAGTTCTCCTGAACAGACAACGGGCAATTCAGAGCACTAAGAACTCCGCTGGCTCTGGAGGGAGTTAAGGCAGACTCTGCTTCAACACCTAAAGATAATGGCTAAAGAACCGAGCAGGAGTTCCTGTGCCTCTTATTACCCCTTCTCCTGTTTTGCCACATCTAGAAGGAAAAGACTGCATAATTTGGTGTGCTCATTGGTAGGGCATTGCCTTGCCTAAGTTGCTCACTGCTTTCCTTTAAGCAATATTCCTTAAGTGGCAGCTTGCCCAAACCAAGGCAGTATGCTAATTTCAACTTCATTATAGGTATATTGTAAGTGGGCATCATGGATATAAAATACATGAAACCAGGACATCTCCAAGGTACCGATAAAAATCTTTTTGCCTTAAAATCACTCGTAAAACATAAAAGCAAGAATCCAGCTGATGTTCAAAACATCCAAAAATCTTACTATCTGACAGCTGTTGAGTGGGCTCCTGCAAAATTGTTGGGGTGGCCCAATATGGACACATATCCACATCTGAGCAAGCATCAGAACTGACATCTTTTATCTTCTCCACCAGAAGTTCAAGGACCTAGTGATCTCCCTCCAAAAAATGATCACATTTAAAGCATATGGGTTATATCCACATTGCACAACGCAGCGTCACGTAGAGAGATGCAAACAGCAACCGCAGTCCTGGAAGCAGCCTGGTCTGTTAGTTCAGCATACTGACCAGACTAATAAACCCTGCCTCTCAGCATTGCTAATTAGCTCTGGCAGACCACTGTGCTAACTAACATGGTGATACTACAGCTAGCCCAGTTATCTCCACACACTGCTGCAGTGTGCCATGTAGATAGACTACGAGGTGGAATAGAGAGAAGACTGCAGTGAACTGCCAGTTCCGGATCTGTTCTGTGGCTAAAGAGGGAATTTCATTTTGGGTGCTGTCAGTCTCGTAACGTACATAAGCCCTGAACTCACTTGGAGAGAAAAGGGGGGAAAAAAAGTAACAATCCAACCTGGCATCACATGCAGCTTGACAAGAGCAGTACAGTTCTCTTCTGAAGCAGAAACGTGACTGGGGAACACGTAATTAAGATGAACCTTTCACAGCAAAGTATGGTATGGCAGTATTACTCAAATTGCAGCTACTAAGAACCAAGTGGGCTGTAAGTAATCAGCAACATTGAAGAAAAGGGATGATTCCAGAATCCTTGCAGAGGTACTGTAAACAATTTGTTAGGGAAGAAAGTGCCCAATTAGAAATGCATTCTCATTTAAGAGAAATTAATTTTGTTGTCAGGAGAGACAACTAATGGTGACTATTGGGTTTCATACCAAGTGCAGATAATCTCTCATGAAATGTCTGGACAGGACTCAACCTTTGGAATAACTGACATCATAAGAAATGATCTTCATCTTCCTCTGAGATAGATAAATGCTGATATTTATTCTGTGGCAAGCTGGACTGATATTCATCAGCAGGGCCTCTTCATTTCTTCATACTTCATTGCTACATTCTTGACAGCACTTCAGATAAATATAATAAACCGATTTTTTTTTTGTTCAAATAATTGTGATGCTCAGTAGTGCAATTGGTAAGATATTCTTGCTATTTTTACATTCCTATTAATTTCTTTCAGGTTTTCAGTCTTCAGTTAACCACAGAGTTTACTACACGATGCATTATTGAAACAGAAGAGAAGCTGGGGGGTTATCGACTCATGTTTGAGGCTTCTGCCAAGAGAAGGGAGTGCATCCTGCCTCCTTTTAGACAAGGTTGGGATGGCAAGACATTTTCAGATGTGGGGGAGCCTTGATCTTCGGTGCTATTTCTTTTCTCTTGTTCCCTGTATCAGAATCTCCCACTATATCCAACAATAGTGAGCGAAAATCTTATCTGAACACTCCTGCCAGAAGAAACAGTGAAATAATGAACTGAGCTGACAATGATGTAGTTATCATCAGATTTCCTGTGGGATGAATAGAGTTAGCTTAGTATTGTTTCAGGATCTCAGGCGACCTGGCTCACATTCGAAAGGATCTTCCCCCACAAGATGGTGGGTGGAAAACAGACCTGGAGGCCTCCCGGTCCCCTTAGGGGGTCACTGTAACTGTAGGAACTACAATTTTCCTGTGGCTATTCAGTTCCTTATCTAGAGTGTTTTGTTTCAGTTTACGGTTATAAAGTGTCCACATCCCACCAAGGACTGGATGGATTACGACTCTTAATTCCCCCTTGTCTGTTGAAGCTGGCACCCGTGATATCAGTTTTAAGATAATTCAAAGAGATCTACTGTTAATGCTGTGCTGCTTCTGGAGTTTCGCTCCCTGGGGAAGTCAACTTAACACCTTAGCCCAGCACTGAATTTACATGAGGAGTGTAAAGCAAAATACAAAAAGTAAACCGTACCCAGCAAAACTCATGGTGTTATTTTATGCATGCGGAATTCTGTCCCAAAATATGTCACATTTTACTTGCAAAAATAAAAGGCTGCTGTTTTATTCTGTATGTGTGCAATCTGCAAAGAAGTATACTCAGCCGCTTCTTTTCTTTAAACATTCAGTGATCAAGTGTGGAATCTGATGTAAAACCGAACGGGAAGAAAGTATCATTATTTAAAGGCTACATAACTGCTTAAAATTAGAGCTGTGAAGGCATCAAAAAATACCAGAAATCACAGATGGTTTGCAGATAAATTCACATTGCATTTAGTCCACTCAACATCTAAAAAAAACCCTACGCTTTTGCCTTGCTTTTCAGTCTATCTGTTGATGCCTGCTCAAAACATACTTTCTTTAAATTGGGCTTTGAGTCGTGTTCTGTTGCCCTATACATTCAGATCCTAGCCACTTTGAAAAATCTGCACAAGTACATGTATTTTTAAATGACGTAGTTAAAATTTAATATATTTTGCACATTTTCAAAATGACAGCTATCCTGAGCGGGTTAAAAAAGACATTAGCAGGGATGAAATAGTAGCAAGAACAGACAAGTAGTTCTGCAATATGCAAGTGGCTGAGACAGAATGACCCAGTTGCTTCTTCTTGACTATATTGATGGTTCTGCAGTATTAGAGTCAGTTAAACTCATTGTTTTCCCTGTCCGAAGACTGCAGGATCAGGCTTTTACATAATTCTGGGATATTTGTGTATTCTGTAATTTAACTAGTTAAAGCCTACTTGCCTTTTTTAATGCCTGGGCTGTATTTTCAAATGTTTTGTCTTGTCCTCTGGGTTTTCTCTCTGCCACTGGTTTGCTCTGGGGAAAATTCCACTTCCATTATCATGAAGGGCCAGGATTTGGCACAATCGTTCCAGCTTCACTGCCTAGCAGCAGTCAGCAGAATTTGCTTGAATATATAATGCTTGGATTCTACTCCTTACAAGTTTCTTGCGGAGGTAGGATTTTGCAGCAGGCAAGGGGAAGCTTGAAACATGATGGTTATTCAATACATGGTTGAACACATCCACTAGCTATTGCTCTTCATTGAACAGGCGCATGAAAGTTTTAGATGGCAGCGTATCCGCTGTTATGACAGTAAATATGATGGAGTTCATGGTACGGTATATGGTATTTCTTCTTGCCAGGAGCAAACTCTAACATGCAGCTTGGAAAAGCAGAGGCTGCTTTTCCCCAGGCTCTTTAAAAAACCTGACACAGTAACAATCACTGAGACAAGTTTAAAGTGTT